CCTTCCTCAGTAAGCTATGCGTGTCATAAGATGCAACTAAAATGCTGGGAGCAAAGGGATAGTAACCCCTTCCCTATATAAATTATTAAATGTGAAAAGAAAAACTTTAATTTCTACTATTTTGGATCACTCTGCCTTGGTGGGAGATGGCTGGTGTGTTAAATAACATCAATAATGATAATAGGGAGTAAAGAAAGAAGTAACCTTGGCTTCAACACTCAAAAGGAATACAATATACATTAAGAAAATTATTTTATATAAAAGTGAACAGTAGTGCATAATGATTAATGTGTAATCTTCCTCAGCATCTCTATAGTATTCAAAGAGCCATAATGTTATCGAGCACTGCCAAAATTTGCAAATATTCAAACCTTCTCCGAGGTACTGACTACACCTTTTTTGTTTACAAATGTTCAAAGATCTAATCACTTTTGTTGTTACTGTCATTGGTACAGTGGTTGTGGTATTTTGTTCATCAGAAGAAATGGGAAAATTTCTCGTGATGCTGGTCTTAATTATATCATGAGCTGTTTGGTAAAGCTTATGGTCTTTAGACCGAGGTCTTCCACATATCTAAAACCAGAGGTCCTTTTTTTTCATGTACTAAGATGGGTATTTATTTAGGTTATTAGACTAACATATCTATATCTTGAAACACTGGCTGGGAGTGTCAGATGCAGAGAAAAAGTTAGCTGGATGACAGACACTACCAAAATAACTCATACTGATAAATGCAAGGAACTTGTATATGAAAAAAAAAATTACAATTAAGGTTTCTGAAGAAAAATTTGAATGAGCAGGGAACTTCAAAAATTTTGGTTGCAAGACAGATTTACTGAGATGGCTGACACATCATTTAATTAGTTTACCAACTGTACTCCATAAACTAACCTTAGTCAACAATCTAAATTCATTAACAACAATCATTTGTAAGGTTAAATGTAAGCCTGGCTTCCTTGTCATCTACAACTATAAGCATTGCAACCAAAGTTTTACCATATATTTATATTGAAATTTTGTTAGAAAAAAAAAATTAAGGGATACCCAAGTTATTTTTTTTTTATTAACACATCGGCTCTCTCTCATCATGACAGGGTGGCCCGAAAAAGAAAAACTTTCATCATTCACTTCATCACTGCCTTGCCTGAGGTGTGCTTACACTACAGTTATAAACCTGCAACATTAAACACCCTCCTTCAGAGTGCCAGCACTGTACTTCCTATCTCTAGGACTCAAATCTGGCCTGTCAGTTTCCCTGAATCCCTTGCTCACACTCCAACAGCACATCAAGTCCTAAAAACCATTTGTCTCCATTCGCTCCTATCTAACACACTCACGCATGCTTGCTGGAAGTCAAAGCCCCTCGCACACAAAACCCCCTTTACCCCCTCCCTCCCACCTTTCCTAGGCCAACCCCTACCCCGCCTTCCCTCCACTACAGATTTATACACTTTCGAAGTCATTCTATTTCCTTCCATCCTCTCTACATATCCAAACCAGTATTAAATACTGTACTAAGGAAAATAAAATACTACAGTGATACCTCGGGTTACGAACAGCCCAAAACTCGAACAATTACGTAGGTGTATTTACGTAAGTGCTTTTGCAAGTATATTTCTGGGGGTCTGAAACAGATTAATCTAATTTACATTATTCCTTATGGGAACAAATTTGTTTGGTATTGGCACTCAAACAGCCTTCTGGAATGAAATAAATTCATATCCCAAGGTACCACTGTATTCACCCTCAAATTATTTTAAGATGCTTGTTATATTAAAGGGTAATACACCATCTGGGAAATGAAAGGGGTGAAGATATCAGGTTTGATCTAAGGAAGGAGATGATAGTTCAAATTATTTGGATCAAGAGTCTTTCACCAGCATCAAGGTACCTTCCTTGAGTTTAAAACAGGGGTATGGTAGGTTCATATTCATTTTGGTTAAATTGAACACTAGTGATGTGGTATGTTATTAAATGTTCATGTGAATGATTAATTATACATGTGACTAAACATTATTACACAAACAGAGGTTGTGACGACAAACAATCTAACACTTATAGAGAGGATATTTAATGCTTAAATGACTAAGTCACATTTAAAAAAAATGGTCCCACTAGTATCCTTTATTTTTTCTGAAAAGCCATATGAACAGAGCAAAAATTATATTCAGAAATATCCATTAGTTCTTGTCTAAAATAGTCAATTCCTCATTAATATGTCAATGAGAGGTATGATATCAGAGGCTTAGAGTCAACAGCACATAAGTGTCTGAATCAGAGGTTCTTACCAAGTATAGATGACCTTCATTATGCTGCAGATACATTCCAGGCCCATGGCAGCTGAACTAAGCTTAGTCATAATAGGAATTTCCAATACATTTTGCAAAATGCACCCATCACAACAGCAAATATACGCTGTGCACAATGAATTTCTGATGGTAATGGGACCTTGTGAAATACCAAATTCATATAAAGGAAACCAATATAATGTGCAGGAAACCTGCACTGTAACTAGAGATCAACATCTTCTGGAAAGACAAGGCTGCTAAGAAATCTAGCCGAGACACAATACAAGATAAATCCAAGAGAAAGTAATGTTCTAGAGAATTTTACACAGGCTAAATCAGTGAAACATATACATACAGGAAAGCAGTAACTGGTTTATTAGGTTTACAACCTATCAACTGCACGCAAGTCATTAAGGGTGCATTTCACCTGTACATCACCAGTCAAGAAAAACTTTAATTCCTAAAACAGGGGTTAAACTCTCATTATATACACTAAAAATACACACCTATGTGTATATACATTTATCTCAGTAAAGTGGTGATGTTAGTGCTTGGCAAACAGGGTAATTACCAGAATGATATATAAACACCTATAACAATATTTACAATTACTGAAAAACAAAGAAGTATACAAGTTGAGCAGTTTTCATCTTAATATAAGCTTTCCAAAAATTTACCTTGTTATATATTCCGAATTTACAAAAAAAATAATTTAAATATCTTTATGGTTTATACAACAATTTCTGAATATAGCAAAGTAACATTGCACTGTACTTTAACATAAATGAAAACTAATTTAGATTGGAATGCTAAGGCCTTAATTAATCATCCATAATTCTCATGGTTTATTAACCCTTTCACTGTCCAGACCCCCAAAATGAAACTTGCTCTTAATATCCAAAAATATGTACGTTTATATTTTTTTCCAATACATCGGCTATCTCCCACCGAGACAGGGTGACTCAAAAAATAATGAAACACTTTCACCATCAATCAGCACTTTCTGAAGGTAAACACACCAAAAGTATGAAATTTGATGGAAAAATCATGGAATTATGCAGGCACAAAGTTAGCAGTCTTAGTGCAATTTACACACTGGTGATTTCACCGACTCTGAATCCTATTTAAAGATATTTCCATTGTTCCAGTCAACCAAATTCTTAACTATTTCACTAGTATGCCTTCCATTTTGCCAATTGAGTACAAGAAACCACCCATTCAACTATTTCAATTAACCTATAAATTGATCAGAATTCAGTAAATTGGTCAATTTCACAAAATATTAAAAAATGTCAGTTTAAAAATAGATTTCATAATAAAAAATGCAGGCATTCCTGGCACTAAAACAACCTTTCCTCTGTTCATCAGTTACATCCCCAGGCCTCTCCTATGTTACACTTGCTTTCCATTTTGAATTCTTATTCACACAAAAATAGAAGATTTTCTCTACTTCTTAGATAAAATATAACCAGAAAAGATTAGTCATGGCTTACAGCATATAATAATTAAATCAGACCTATTAAAAACCCAGAGAACAGACTAGAGATTGTAGGTGGACCTTACCCACCCTCTGAAATACAGGCAAAATTCAAATATTTCCATAACTTTGAGCTCAGTTTCAAGCTACTTACAGTCCTAAAACCAATCAATATCATTTATATTTCAGTAACGTATCTTCTATTCTATCAAATGATACCAAGAAAAGGGCAATAAAACCACAAAAACCATCTGAGAAAACATTGTGGTTGCTATTTTAAAACATTCACACGGTCACAGTTTTGTTTTTCCCCATTACGCACCATGTAGGGCAGGATTTTTTCTTATACAGCACACACTCGCCTCACAGATTCATTCTCTCATATCTAAGCCAAAATTTAGTGCTTATATCTTATCCAAGTGAGCTTAGCTCATGATGTAGAGCTATGTCAGGGACCCTAGCCTCAGTGACATACATGTAGTTCTACGTGACGGACAGCGAAAGGGTTAATCAATGTGTTACTTATATTTAATCGAATCCTATGTAAATATTTATACTCCCATACAAAACTGACAAGTGATGAAATAATGTATTGAAAATATAGTTTTAATAAATTGGGAAAGTGATTTCTTTTGAGACTGCATAAAATAGTAATGTATTAAAAGAACTTGAAAACATTGCCATAGGTTACAAACAGTAAAATCCTTACAAGTATCTAGTTTAATGGTATCAAACTATGGTCTCACCCACCTGCTGCTCAAATAATCACACTTCTCTTGACCAACCAAAGATCAAACAGAGCGAGCTCAAGAAGCAGAGAGACTGATCACTTGACTAAAGAAAAATCAAGAAAGAAATCAGTCATACAAATAAAAAAGCATGTGGATTGGAGGCATGAGAAAGATCACTATAGAGGTGACACTGATGTACTGTACAAAGCATTTCACCCCTTGTTCACTGCTAAATGCTTGCATAGTGCGATGCATCTCCAAAGGAGCAACATTCTTAAAATATCATCAGCCGTGTTGGGGCTTGGTTAAGCGCGAGCAGCAGTTGTTAAGCTATGTAAAAATATTTTTGATCTATACTGATAAAACTTAGCAATTTTCACCCACAAGTACAAAAGACTAAGAAAAAATTCTTTTAATTTCAAAATTCATAAACAAAATGAAATTATTAAGAAACTAAGGCAGATGAAAATTGCTAAATATATCAATTACAAGTAGTAGCACTACCTTCTCAGAATCTTGTGACCTCTTGCGCTCTCTTTCACGATCCTTTCCGGTATAATGAAACGGTTGAGTAGGTGAGAAGCTTTCAGCATCATCAGTAAAGGCAGATTCATCCCAATCTGACTGGATTTCACTTCCTTGATCACAGCTCATAGAACGTGAAGAGACTGAATCAATAATTCGACCTGGCACAATGGGGTTGTCATCTTCTGAGGGTACCGACCTGTGTATGGTTGACAGAGATTTATTTTCTAGAATGAATCCCACCTCATCTTGACTAATAAACGTCGACTTTCGGACATGACTTAACGATTTGGCATCACTGTTTGGTGCAGGTCTACCATCCACTCCACTTGATACACTCATTCTAAGAGACTGATTTTGTTGTGAACTGACTGGGAAAGAGAAAAATCCTTCATGTCCCATTTTATGTTGCTTTTTTCCTGTTCCTTTTTCGTCTCCTAGATCGGTATTTTTACAAGGCACTTTCAAATAATCAGAAACAATAGCTGAGCTTTCCATTTCTTCACTTTCATTATCTGTAGACATAAAATGTGTTAGGGCTGACATGATGCTATGGGTGGTTAATTCCTTTAGAATTTCATCATATCGATCTCTAGGAAATAACTTCGTGTTGTCTGATTCCTTGTACATTTCTTTTTGATCTTGCTCATTCTGGTGATAAAGCACTGTCGCTGGTTGATGCACACTTGACTTATCACATTTTTCGGCATTGTTTCCAGAGCTGAAATCACGCCTCCTAAATAATGTATCATATAATGTATCACGTGAAGTGCCATCCGGTTTCACTGTGTTTTTCTCTGTTTTGGGAAAAGTGGGTGACTTGTACTTCTGTGAGTAAGATGGTGATTTTGGCTTTTGTAAGTAGGATGGTGACTTTGGACTAACAGCATATCTGGATGGTGACTTTGATCTTGTGCCACAAGGAGATGGTGACTTGGGACTTGGAGTATGAGGGGATGGAGACCTGGAGCCTGTGCTAGGTCTAGATACTGTCCCCAGACTGGTGGATATACCACCTAATGCTACTGTTACTGCAGGATCTTGAAAGTTGTTACATGTATCTAATAAATTTAGTTTATCAACTTTTAAACTTTCAGATTTACTTCGGGAATGTCCACCAGTCCGAGAAACAATTGAGCGTGGTGCAAACGAAGAGACTCTAGAACCAGGCTCCATTATCGATGGAGTAATAGGCGGGTTCACAACACACCGTGTCTGGATAACTGGCGAGCGTGGATGGCTAGTGATGGCAACCACCTCTGTCTGTCTCGACTGCATTGGCAGTGATGACTGGACAGACAACTGAGATTTTCGAGGTGGCTTCTTTGGTGGAATTTTGGGATCCTGACCAGTATCAGATTCAAGTTTATGTCCTGATGCTTTTGAACTACAAATTAATGGTTCATTCTTAATTTGAATATTTTCTTCTAATGTGCAATCTATATTGCAAGGTAGAGTGATATCCCCTCGAGCACCTTCTACAGACTCTAAATTTTCATCAAGTATGTCCACATCTAGCTGCAGTGCCTCGTTCTGATCCATTGTGCTCTGGTATGACTTGCGAATGTACTGCTGGTTGTCGTGGTGTGCAATGTCTTCTGTCACCCACGTAACTCCCTTTGACTGGAAAACCACATGATCCATCAGAGTTACCGTGAACTGATCATCACTTAGGATTTTTAAAAAGCTTTAAATAGACCATTTTGACAAGATTAACACACACAGATGAAACCATTAATCAGCAATCTCTCCTGTAATTAAAACTCGAATAAGTAAATATAATAATACACAGTTTCAAAAATTTTAATAGAAAATAAGGATGTTATAATGTCTTCAAAATTATTCATATTCCTTTTGTAATACCACTTAAGTGTTTTCAAGTAATATCACTGTCAAACTGTCACCACAAAGACTAAAGAATAACATGGGATGGAAGTTAGTAGGTGTGAGAGGGAGAATGAGAGATAGCAGAGCAAGACTGAGTCTCTATCCCATCTTGGGCCAGGCAGGGCTCCTCCCCGGGGAGCTGAGCTACTGTTGCTCAGGATGTAGACAATAACGCTGCACACACTCCAAGGCGGCATCCAACCTTCTCTCCTCACACAACCACTACATAATTCTGCCACAAACTACCCTAAACACTGCTCTGCCCCTTCACCACTAAGAACAGGGACAAGTAACCATTTTCACTTATACAGTAGGCTACAGGTCACTTTGATAATAAACAGGATATTACTTCCTATCCAGATTATCTTTGTACAGCCAAAAGTTTTCACTTTTCTACAACCCCTCATTTCCTAGTCTTAACCAATTTAATTAAGTCCTAAGTTACTGCATTTGTATAAGGAAATTCACTGAAACATAATCATCATCTACATAATATTTTCCCAAAATAATTTAGGTGACATTCAAGTTTACTGTGAGGAGGTGAACACTACATTACGCAAGACAATGTTCAGCAGTCTCTACTGTAACAACAGCCACACATTCAACAAGTATATATAGCCATTATCTACGCTTTTAAAAACATAGCTTTTCTAAAACCCCTATGTACATTTAGTAAACTATTGTTTAAAAATTAACAGAATTATACTTTTTATATTATACAGTATAAAATTTTAATCACAAAAGAGATACGGTTAAAATTCAGGTTTATAATTTAATTTCCTTTGACATTCACTACCACTATCTGTAAAGCAATTACAGTGGTCAGTGTATCTCGTGGCCAGTGTAACTTGTCAGTGTATCTAATGATAGTTGTAGTCTGTGGTCAGTGTGGCCCATGGCCAGTGTGACATGTGGCCAGTGTGATGTGTAGCCAGTGTAACTTGTCAGTGTAGCTCATTATAGATGTAGTCTGTGGTCAATGTGGCCAGTGTGGCCCATGACCAGTGTGACGTGTGGCCAGTGTACCTTGTCAATGAAGCTCATGATAGTTGTAGTCTGTAGTCAGTGTGGCCCGTGGACAGTGTGACATGTGGCCATTGACATGTGGCCATTGACATGTGGCCAGTGTGACATGTGGCCAGTGTGACGTGTGGCCAGTATGTGTGGCCAGTGTAACTTGTCAGTGTAACTCATTATAGTAGTCTGTGGTCAATGTGGCCAGTGTGGCCCATGGCCATTGAGTATGGTGTGTGGCCATTGTGGAATGGGGCAAGTGTGGCCACTGTGGAGTGTGGCCTATGGACAGTATGGTCCATAGCTAGTGTGGCCCATTTGACTAGTGTGGCCCATCTGACCAGTGGTCCATGGCAACTGTGGTCCATGGCCAATGTGACCAGTGGCCTAAGTGGTTAGTAGGGCCAGTTGACAGTGTGGCCTCTGGTTTGTGTATCCAATGGCCAGGATAGCCCATGATCAGGGTGGATCATGGACAGTGTGGCCTGTGGTCCAGGTGGCCCATGGTCCAGGTGGCCTGTGGTCAGTGTAGCTCGTGGTCAGTGTAGCTCATGGTCAGGGTGGCCCATGGTTAGTATAGCTCATGGTCAGGGTGGCCCATGAACAGTGTAGCTTATAGTCAGGGTGGCCCATGGTTAGTGTAGCTCATGGTCAAGGGTGGCCCGTGAACAGCATAGCTCACGGTCCGGGTGGCCCATGGTAAAGGTAACCCATGGTTAGTGTAGCTCAAGGTCAGGGTGGTCCAAGATCAGTAGCTCATGATCAGGGTAGCTCATGATCAGGGTGGCAAAAAACTCAATGTATATAAAAAGGCCTAAAAGTATGGAACTCCCTACTTGAAAACTCTTCTACTCTTTTTTTTTTTTTTTTTTTTTTTTTTTTTTTTTTTTAACAGGGTTTGACAAGGTTAGGCTAAGGATCCCTAGCTTTATTGACAAGCTATTTACATGTTAAGGATTCCTAACTTTATTGACAAGCTAAGAGCTGTTACCTACATAAGCTCATTTGAAAGCATTTTTATTGTTATGCGACATACAAGTAGGGAACAGGATGAAGTTGCAGCCATCTGTGGGGCAGCATTTTCATGTGACCAACTGACTATCTCGTTGACATCATGAAGCTTTACGAATGTGTTCCATACTCGAGTCATCCTGGGGATAAATGATCTCAGATGAAGTGATGTTCCGGAGAAGAGTACAGCCTGAGTGAAGTTGCCGCTTTCTGCTCGTCTTGTGATATAGAAGCTTGCTTCACGCTGTCCTCAAAGTGGATCCAAGTGTGGTACTTTGACAATATTGGCCTTGTACATAACAGTAAGGCCACCCACATCCCTCCTGTGTTGAAGGCTCTGCTGAAATGACAGATCTATCCAGGATTGGTCCATGCGAGAGATGAGGTCTTGCTCTGTTCTCTACTCTGTCAAGCAGTCGCAGATGAGAGGGGGGGGCCAGGCAAACCAAGAAAGTGGAGCATACTCAAGGTGTGAGCGTACTTGTGCTGTGTACAGAATCTTACAACCCTTACTGTCAAGCAGATGCAAGATACGGCGAAGTGGTGAAAGATTCCTGGCTACCTTGTTTGAAAGATTTACAATGTGGTTCTTCATGGTCAGCTTGGAGTCAAATTTCACCCCAAGGATATCAACTTCCCCAGGTGCCAACACCCTCCCATTCATCCTTACTACTGCACTGGCATTACCATCATGGTGCCTAGAGATCATCATTTGTTTTCTCAGGTGCAAATGTTACTTGCCATCTATTTCCCCAAGCTGATATTGCTCTTAGCTGGTGATTGATGTAGCTTAGAACAGTTGGCATTTCTTCCCTTGGATAAGTGAATGTCAGTGTACAGTCATCTGCATATGCATGTGATTCTGGGATGAGATGAAGGTCATTGAAGTAGACATTCCATAACAATGGTCCCAGCACTCTTCCTTGTGGAACACTTGCCCCAATAAGATGTCTTGCTGATTACGTTCCATTGAGAACTATCCTTGGAGATCTACCATGAAGGTAATCACTGAGGAGACAAAAGCATAGAGCCTGCAATTCCCAGAGCTTGCAGTTTTGCTAAGAGGCCCTGGTGCCACACCCGGTCGAAAGCACCGGCAATGTCCAGTGCTACCACACAGCTGACTATGGATTCATCCAGTGACTGGTATCACTTAGTGGAGAGGTTTAACAACAGGTCAGCAGCAGAGTAACCTTTCCTGAGGCCATATTGACAGTCACAAAGTAGTGAGTGGTAGTCAAAAAACTCTGTCATTTGTCTTGAGATTATTGTCTCAAGGATCTTGCCAGTGATTGACAGCAGTGACACTGGTCTGTAGTTGCTGATTTCTGCTCTGCTCTTTTTGTGAACAGGGACTACATTTGCCTCTTTCCACAGAGAAGGCCATTTACACTGTACTATGCAGTGCTGAAAGATGCAAGTTTGAGGTGCTGCTAGCTGGTCTGCACATTTTCTCAGCAATCTAGGGCTCAACTTGTCTGGGCCAACAGCCTTTTCTTGGTCAAGTGATTTAAGAAGGAAATGCACCTCCTTCTGCCTTATTGTCACCACTGACAGTTTTGACAAAGTTCTAGTAGTAGAGGTGGTCCCATCCTGTCAATTTAGAGGTGGAATGAGTTCATCAGGCAGATAACCTTGTCTGTCCTTGACCAGGGACCACCAGGTTTTGGAGCCTACTTTAACTGATGCTAGCTTTCTTTTTGTGTTCACCTCCCATTTAGCAATGGCCCACTTTTGAATACCACCCATATGCCTACAGTTTTGCCTGTGCAAGTTCCTGTCATAGGTGGTAGGATGTCTGTTATACCTTTTCCATGCCTTGTACTTAGCAGTAGCAGCCTCTCTACAATGAAAGCCAAACCAAGGCTAATCTGTAGGCTTTGTCACATATTGCCAGTGAGGAATGTGTTCTTGTTGTAGATTAAGGATGTGTCCAGTGAAGGCTTTCACTTGGTTGTCAACATCCCCTTGGAGAAGAGCATTCCAATCGGTGGTGGCGAGCTCAGAGCAAACAGCTGGCCAATTACCTCTTTCCCATAGCCAGGTTGTGCGTGTGGACTCCTCACCTCATTCTGTTGGGATCTTAAGTGTCATAAAAACAGCATTGTGGTCAGATGATCCAACATAGCCAAGGGGTTGACAAGTGACACACACACACACACACACACACGATGTAGTGAGCGATGTAGTGGAGGCAGGATCCATACATAGCTTTAAGCAGAGGTATGATAAAGCTTATGGTTCAGGGAGATTGACCAAGTAGCGGCCAGTGAAGAGGCAGGGCTAGGAGCTAGGACTCGACTCCTGCAACCCCAACTAGGTGAGTACACACACTTTTTTTTTTTACACAGGGTTTGACAAGGTTAAGGATCTCTAGCTTTATTAACAAGCTATTTACAGGTTAAGGATTCCTAACTTTATTGACAAGCTAAGAGCAGTTACCTACATCAACTCACTCACTCACTCTCACACTCTCTCTCTCACACTCTCTCACACACACTCTCACTATCACACACACTCTCACACACACTCTCACACACTCACACTCCACCTCACTCACTCTCACACTCACATCTCACACTCACCTCACACTCACTACTCACACTCACTCTCACACTCACTACTCACACTCACTCTCACACTCACTCTCACACTCACTCTCACACTCACTCTACACACTCACTCTCACACTCACTCTCAACCACTCTCAA